GGTCTGTACAAGGTCGCTTAGTACTTCGGAGTTCACGGATTCTCTAAACTCGTACAGGATACGAGTTAGGGCAGTAATCGAGGCCGAAATCATGTGTGGTGTGCTTCCCGCTAGTCCAGCGCTAATCATGGTGAAGAACTCTTCTATGCTCGCAGAAACGGATGGCGAATTATCAGGCATATGAGGGACTTTGCTGTTGTCGATTTGCTTGCCCTTTGCTGCTTCGAGTCGTTGACCCATCGTTACCAGCAGGTCGTATGCGATTGTTCTAGCCTTCTCATTATTCTCTTTGCAGCAAATTACTACCTCAGATAGAACAGAGGGGATGAAATGCAGAGAATCGTCAGGGATAAAGGGGATTAGAGCGGCCATGGCGGCTAGCCGCTCTCGTCGGGCTGGAGCTGAGACTTTCTCGGCACTCGAAAGTAGTAGGTTTTGTAACTCGCTATGCTGTTCCCGAAGAGCAATTTTTCCAATCTCGGAATCAGCAAGCCTCGGTATTAATTTGTACGCTTTCTTCTGCAACTGGGGTTCATTGTTTTTCACGATAATAAGAGAAGCAATATTGAAGAGAGCACCAAAGCTTTGTCGCGGCAGATACGCAGACATAGTGATGACCAAGTCCATAAGTGTTTGACTTGTTGAAGGCATCTTGTCCTGCGAGTTTTGGGACTTGTTTTTACCCTCTGTGTTGCTGGCTTCATTGATTGCAGCAGCCAGCATTGTGCTGACACGATCAAAAGTCTCGACTAATTCGTTTTCAGAAGTGATGCTGAGGTACACGTTTATTGTTTGTAGTATGGGCCCTCGGGATTGAGGAAGAGTCTGGCTGTAGACGTTGAATAGAACGGCCAAGAGGTTCCCAGCAAACCCGCCCAGGAAGACAAGATTTTTCTGGGCGTCGGCTTTCGACACTCTGCTCTGGAGAAGCAGGCCATCCCCATCCTCAATGGCAACAATGGTCTTGTTAGACTCAACTAACGATCTGAGGGCTCGACATACATCCAATCTCAAATCGACTTGTTTGTATAGAAGATTAGCGAGCATTTCCGCGAAACTTTGATCAAAAGCAATGGTCAGGTCCAGCGGGAGATCGCAATATCCCGGAAGAATGGACCATGTCTGGTTGACTATAGTCTCGTAGATCTTGACCTCCATGGTTTTCGCAGCCTCGCCGTGATCAAGCACGCGTTGGAACATTGCTTCGCTTAGCGTTACGAACTCGGTTCTAAAATGCTGGAGATTTGTGTTGCATGTGTAATCTCGTAGAATTGGCAGCATCCACGCCCTGCCAGCTTGTCCACTAACTGGCCTAACAAGGTTCAAAGGAAGAACCGATAGAACCGCCTCCGGGCCCATTGCCCGTATAGCTGTGCCAATGACCTCGTCCGCTTGCTTCTTGCCCACGAAAGAGTCATTGCCGCGAATTTCTCCAATAGTCCGTACAACATTACGCATAATAGGGTCAGCCCGCCACCTCAAGGTGTTGAATATGGCCCCGAGGATGTTGAATGTCTCCATCCATGCCGCCTGATATCTTACACTAATTAGGCTCTCGGCGAGTCTGGCAATCTTCTCTAACGTCTTTTCGTCATAAATTGAAGGTTCGATGATGACTTGGTCCGGTATGCAGTTTGCTACAAACGAGATTAAGCACTCGGAAGCAGAGACCCGGATGTTATGTGAGGATGAATCCATGAACTCGGAGATCATTGCGAACAAATCAGGCAATTTCTGAAATGTCTCCTCAGGTTCAATCTGAGATGAGACATCATACCCACGAGACAAGATGGCTATCCACGGCGGAAGTAGCTGAGTATCATGAGCGGCGGGTCGCATTTCTGAGATAATCTCGAGGAGGCGGGGAAGTTTCGCTGAAGCTACTTCATCGGCCATGCCCTCGAAGATCATTTCGAAGATGTCAAAGACGGCCATCGTCATATGCTCATTCCCACCCTTGGCAATGCCAAGCAGAAGCTCGCACAAAGCCTCGAGATTCCGACTCGGCCAGCCTCCGCTTGCTGCGGCTATCGTCTTCACAAGTTGTAGGGCATGGATGAGTGCCGGGTCGTGCTCCGCAGCAGACGACTTCTTCTGCTTTTTCGAAATAGCAGCCTTCGTAGCCAGATCGGACAGGCTGCTCATGGCGGTCTCGGCGCAGAGATCAGAGGCGGGATGGTCGAGGGATGGACTCGGTGGTGGGTTCTTGAGGACTTTGCGCAAAGCATCTTGGGCTCTCTTGCGCACTTTTGGCCGTGGATCCAGTGCTAGATGAAGAAGCCCTGCAACGGCCCTACGCGGGCTGATCTCGGTGGTGGGTAGCTTCCATGCTGCCGAGTCCTGGGCGAGGAGAAGAGACTCAAGGCATCCTATCGACGGCCTCAGCAAGGGGGCATCTGCGCCGGCTAGTAGTAGGGTAGGCGCGAGGAGCGTCAGGATCTGGGTGAACTTGGCTCGGAGCAGGGGTTGTGGCGTGAAGGGTGTGACGATATCGAGCAAATATACGATGGAGGGAATTAGCTCTTTGTTACTTTTACCCTCGCCAACGGACTGGCTCAGCAGGGCAAGGAGCGCAGCAAAGTATCCCGTCGGCGTCGGCGACGTGTTCTGTTCCTTTAACGTTTCCTCGACCGCCTTCAGCACAACTACTGTCTGCAAAGAGAAACGAGGTCAGTTAGTATCCACACTAAGCTAGATAGTTCAGTAAATCGTCACGCACCTGCTGCTGGCTTTGGAGGTTCGGAGACCGTATCTTGTCTAGCTTCTCCTCCAACGTAGCCATCGTGAAAGGCACAATACGCAGACTGGTCAAGGCCTCAGAGACGGAGTTCCTAGGAGATCGCAACTTGGGGATTTTGGGTTTTTTCTGGTTATCGTTGTTATCGGCGCTTATCGTAAGTTAACCCCACATTTCTCCTCCCCCGCCACGAACCGGCTCCTGCATATAGAGAGCCGTCGTCTACCGACAACCTACCTAAGGTAGACAGGTCCTCCTTTCAGGATTTAATTAGATAAAAACGAATAACCTCCCTGTTACGACACTAATTTCTTACCTCGGATTACTGCCCAGACAGCTTAAACCGTCAGAAGACCCAAAAATTATACACAAATAGGACTCCATGGTTAGTTAGTTGATGGGTTTCCATTGATACCAACGATAGTTACTCCGTACACTGATTAACGGTCGCATGTGATGTAGGGCTTTGGCCCCTTCAATCGTCGTAATCCAAATCCCGCCGTAACTCCATAATGAACCTTCTCAAACCGTGCAGTCCGTTTATGCGAAGTCTTCCTCCTTGATATTGTTCTTTATCCGCAGCAGGATTTCCGTCTTCCACTTATCGAGCTTTGACATCTGGTCGTACTGGTATAGCTTGTCCTCGAAGTCACCTGAATCCTGAGATTCTAGAGAGCCGGCGAGGTCTACAAGTAGCTGGTGCTCCCTTGTACTGGCAAATGTGGGGTCCATCTCTCTGTATTTCTCAAATGCTCGGTTCGCGCCAACCAAGTCCTCAGTAGCGAGGTGGCAAATGCCAGCTTTTAAGAAGTGGTCCTTCACCGAATAGCGTAGGAGGTTGTTGTTGACAGAAGCTTCTGCAATCTTTTCATAGTGTTGAATTGCCTTGTAATAGTCCGCTTCCAAAGCAGCAAGGTCCGCCACCTTTATCAACAGCTTGTTCGCCAGTCTAGACATGATAATTAGCACACGCAAGTAATGAAAGCCGCGGGTCACTTGTTCGTGATGGGACCTACGCTACAGCATTGTCTGACTCGTACCAGCCGGCCGCAAGTTCGTAGCTCTCGAGTGCGCGCTTTTTATCGCCTAATTCAACCTCAAATACCTCGCCCGCGTGCTCTTTGTGTTGGGCCGCGCGCCTGAAGTTCCCCTTCTTGCAGTATTGGTTGATGGCGACTTCGATACATCGGACAGCGTCTTCGGGGTTTTCTTTGCGATAGACCTTGGCTCTGGTAAGATAAAAGTCGGTGATATAGGACATCAGTGTTGCCGCACCTTGAAGCATTCTACCATTGTGTTGGCGGCATCGTCGGGTTCCTTGAGATTCTGGCCCTGGATGGTAGCAGCCTTCTCAAAGGCGAGGCCAGCCTCTCGCATGAGGCCCTGCATACGGAACGCATTGGCGGCTTCGACATAGAGATCGGCGGCATTCATGTACTTGTCCTCGCGACCACCGAAGAAACTAAATCCACCGCTCGCAGAGGCCAGGGCCTTCTCTGCCTACGTCCAGAGGTCGTCAGCATAAATGAAGCGGAGACGGTCCCGGGCAACAAGAGACCAACCTTTTGCAACAATGCGCGAGGATCGCCGGCCATATTGAAGGGATTCTAGGAGAAGATTGATGGGAAATGAACGAAGAGGGGAATGTGCGATAGTTCAGGATGATGGGAGGTTATGGTGTTGTCGTAACTCGTAAGAGAAGACATTAGGTAGCTCAGGCACATGTCGTAGCATTAGGTGGTCGAGGTGGGTTTGGCGGGGTGTCTCAGACGCTAGTCTAGGGGCGGCCGAAGTGCTACCTACTCGGGAATGGCACCTTATGACATCGCCACGCTTCAGCCCTGTTACATCTTTTTTCTTTTGTAGACCTACTACCTGATTGGCGTTGAAAGCGAGGCATATGATGTCAGCAACTATTACAACGTACTTCATTTATAATGCCCTTATTGAAACATTTCTCTTACTAGTTTAAACACTACAATCCATGGGCTGTAGGAATTACCGATTCGTTTTGACACCTACCGGATTTTCAACAATACCTCCTGTAGTACTACCTACTTCGATATAGTGCAGAACAGATAACTAGGTAGATTACCAGAAGCGTATTTATTCAACCCAACAATAATGATGGGCAGGCCATTCTATCCAAAGATATACCATCGCCCGCCCGTCCTTATCCTGAAAATATAAACATGAGATTCTACAATGCATGCATGCATGCAGATAGAGAGAAGAAGAAGAAAAAAGTGAAAAGATAGGTTTGTGACGAGAGTGAGACTTAAACCCACGCGGATTGCTCCATGAGAAAATTGTCTGTTAAGGCAACCCTAACCTTACGCCATAACCAACTCGACCATCTTGCCATAGCTTGCTTATTCTAACGGTCGTCCACTTATAGCATGCTAGGAGGATTTTCAGTAGTGTCTAGGTTTCATGGTGTTTGATTTTTGGTGGGCAATGTTATAGGTGTTATCAAATAAACTGCTATTGTGCTGGAAGGTCCAAAGCATACAGTACCTCAGAGGCTAAGTGGGGTAGTTGAATCGTGGGGTTAAACATAAGTATTTGGCCTGTCACATGACCACACATACTTCTGCAATCAAATACAGACCTCAGAGGAATATAAGCGCCTTGAAGAACAAATCTTGTATCTGACAAAAGATGGCAAGATGGCCGAGTTGGTTATGGCGTGAGGTTAAGGTCACCTTAGCACAGTTTCCTCATGGAGAAATCCGCGTGGGTTCAAGTCCCACTCTTGTCAAACAACTTTTTTCTTTTTTTTTCAGTTTTATCCTTTAGTTAGTTAACTACATGATTTTTATTTTATATTAAACGAGAGGAAAATGTTAATATTGTTGTCCGTAGGTATTAAGTCTTTAGTATCCTTGTTCTTATTTTAGTAAAAGCAGTTAAAAATCTTATTTTTAAATCGTACCTTAACCCATTTAGGCATGCATATCGAGTACGTTAGATCGGAATAAATCGTAATTGTAATTTACGCGATCCCCACGACCGAAATCGCGACTCAACTACAGTATCTATCAAGCTATCCACACGCTCTCTCTTCTCCGAGCCTCCCACTCTTCAACTCCAAGCAGGACATGAGCCCGACAATATGTAACCACTGCAGGCTAGCGCTGCGGCGCACGCTTCGCGCCTCGCGGGCTTCCCGCCAACAGACAACCGCCGCTCAATCGACAGCGGCAGCAGCAAGTCTAACCCGACCATCACGCACGCAGCCCTCCTCAGACCCTACTACTACCACAGCTCCCGACCTCGCCTCTCTCCTATCGCAGCCGACCTGGTCCGTCCGCTCTCTGCTACCATCAAGCTCCTCCCCGACTCCCTCCTCCTCCTCACAACCAACCACCACCACCATAACATCCAAGACGCTCCATCACCTCCTGCGTCTCTCCGCGCTCCCGCTCCCGCGGACGCCGGGGGAGGAGTCCCAGATGCTCGCGACACTGTCCTCGCAGCTGCACTTCGTGCGCGCCATCCAGGGCGTCGACACGGCCGGCGTGGCGCCGCTGCGCGTGATCCGCGACGAGACGGCGTCGGGGCTGCGCGAGCAGACCATCGGGCTGGCGGAGCTGCGGCATGCGTTGGAGGCGGAAGACGTGGTGGGTCACGCGAGGCGCCCGCGACGGCGCCGGACACAGAGGCCGGTGGAACAGGAATCAAGTACGTCTAGGGAGGGACGACGAGAAGAGGGGGTAGAACCGGATAATAAGCAGGGACGGAACGCGTCTCAAGACCAGAAGCGGATACCAAATGAGGAGGAGAGCTGGGACGTACTAGGCGGCGCGAGCGAGACGGCAGGAGGACGGTATTTCGTCGTCAGGAGCGGTGGAACGAGCTCTTTACCCAACGGGACGGTGGGTTGAAGATTTGGCAAGTTGCTGATTCGCAAGCTAGGGTTTGTAAAACTCAGAAACAGCACAGTTTGAGGAAGAGATATCTATTGGTGAAGGCGAAGCTCTAATACGCCAAGTCGATCTTCTACAAGCCTCGCCGATTATAACCGGGTCCTCAAATCACCAATCAACCTCGGTTGGTATGTGCTCTAGCAAGTAGCAATTGCTAAGAAATCCTATTTATACACATGACAGGCTGATACCTTCTGATACATGTAACCGACCATTCCGTTTCCTGACGCCCTGATATACACCTGAGTCGCTCGTGCATTCATATACTATACATAACATCCGATGACTTCGTTACTTCGTTAATACCAACAACCCCCAATCAGGCCATGTAATAAACTTGTTGGGTTTCAATGACGATGGGCTCCCATAAGATGTTGCTGTTTCTCCGTGCGACTATGTTTACGACGCGACTTGGGATTCTCTTGTTCTGTGTGCGCGTGAGCATGCTGGGTGCCCCCAATGTTTGATGTCGGTTTTGCTTGGCTGTTTGGTTGATTAGCCACAAATTTGTCCATTGGTTCCCCCTTTCCATGCATTCGCTTGGTAACAGCGCGGTCTTTCTGGTTCTGCTCGATCTTTGGTTCTTTAATGACCTCGATGTTCCCACTCCGCTCTCCAAGCCCTGCGTTGCCTCTCTCTCCCCGCCCCGGCGCACGGTTACGCTCTTGATATATCAGGTCCGGCCGCTTTGACATTTCTTTGTTGATTTCGCCAGAGTCAAGATCCTCCCAGCAAAGACGCAGTAAAACACTGCCGATGTGGTATTGATAATCAAGATGATTGGTAATAGCGTCACTGAGATCGACATTCTCAACTCGAGGTACTCCCTCAATGGGCTGTAGCCCTGCAATACCGAAGTTCCAAGCGCAAGTTCTATAGAGAAAACCGAGAAGATAGTCGTTTTTGGAGTATACGTTAATTAGTCGGCCCATAACGATGCTCTTCATTGCTGTCCAAACGCGGATCTCAGACGGACAGGGCGCGCCAAACAAGACAACGTTCTCCACAATACCGAAAGCTCTTTTTTCAGAGAGTGAAGTTAGACAGGCGTAGATAACACGGGCACCGAGCCCATAACCGGCTAGGGAAACGGCGCGCTCTCCCTGAACCTTGTTGGTCAGGATCTCGGCCAGGACAAGTCCCACCTTCTCTGCTCGAACCATCGCAACTGTCCAAGGGTTGTCCATGACCTTGCTGGCCTTTATCAGGGTTTCCGGCCAGTGGGATGTCTTTAGACTAGTGAACACTGAAGGTGTCAGTGTATAGCTTCAGTGTCTGCACTGATCTTCGTCTTACCATTCTGCCCGGCAGTGTCCTTTTTGGCGGCGCTCCAGGAGGTACTCTTCATTACCGTCTGCAAGGCAGCGCCAACCTTTGATAGAGCCTCGAGCTCCCATCTGAGGGCGTAGACCTCGTTCGACATACCAAAGGCCTTCCACGGGTATTGAAAGTCATTCTCTTCAGTAGTCCAGCCGCTTATTCCAATCGTAACACGCATCCGACGGTTCTCTGCCGGTATATCTTTGGGGTCAAGGAGCTCGGACAGTGCAGAGCCGTGCATCGGTATCAAGGCGAAGTCTTGGATGTCCTTCGCATATGCATCCATCGTCTTGCCGCCCTGCCGGGCTCCGTACAGCCCGAACAGGGTTCCAACAGGGACGGTGCTGTTTGCTGCGCCGATACCACCTAACAACGTCGCCGTGACCGATGTACTGACCCCAATCCCCCCGAAAACCGTTCCAATACCCGCAGCAACCAGCGGCTCCGCGAGAACGTCGGAAAATGCAGAAGCGGCAGAGTTAGGATTATTATTGGAACGCCATCGCTTCGACGGCTTGCCCTCTTCCGCGCGCTTCTGGGCAATCTCTTCAGCAGATATGCCCTTGATAATTTGGGCTAGAGCCTGAGAGACCCGGTACTCGTCCTGCAGCAGCACATATGTCGGCACTTCCATTGCAGTGGCAAGCTTGATGAGTGCAATGCGAGAGTATGTAGGATATTGGTCAAGTCCCAAGAACATCAAGAGCATCGTATGAAGGATCAACGCGCGTTTCTCCTTTGGGAGGTTGCAAAGTGCTGTATACATAGGCGGATAGAGCTGAATATGCTGTGCATTAGACGCATCACTAGTCAGCAGCGGCACTATCAAGGGTCGTTAGTCATATTGCTTCATGAAACCCCTGGGACAGTCAAAAGAATATCAGTATTGGGGGAAAGGGGAAACAGCTGATCAAAACTCGACGTCTGTCTGCGGTCACCGTGGAGGAAGAACTTACCAGTCGGCCTGGCAGAACTTCCTCGCGCGGTGAAACCGACTCGTCTGGCATTACCTGGTGCTTGTTGTGGTCCTTGGCGAACAACGTTGCCACCGGTACCGCCGTGCTTAATGACCACCTCTTGCAGTCGCTTGAAGACAAGTCCACGCCACTTTCCGAAGTGGCCCAGGGCATCTCGCTTCAACTCGGACAAACTAGCCATCACTAACTCGGTCTCGGTCCTCTTGGAGCTAGCTATAGCCTCGTCGGGTGATTTGGGGATCGTTAGAGCGGGTTTGGGCTTAGCCGTACTCTGGTTGATAGGATGGAACTTCATTATCTGTAACAGAAGCTCGCGATCTTCGAAGTCGGGCTTGTCGACGGGTATGCCGATGTTTCCATACTGACTGCGGTACTTGTCACTGCCCGGGTTAGGCACCGAGAGAACCATCACCTTGGGAGCAGCGATGCCTTCAGTGGGCTCGACTGGCGTGATGGTCATCTTTTCGAAGTTGTCGCGAACCTGCATCTGGAGTTCGTCCATGATAGCCATGACGAGAACCTGCAGCTGCTTCATCTGCTCGATACTAAGCATGGCACTCAGGTCGATCTCTGGACGCTTAAAGGCGAATGCCTTGCTCGGCGGGGGGTGGCGCGGCATCTTTTCGGTTGGGGCCTGGCTCTCGTCACCAGATGATGTGGGAGATGTAGGCGACGTGGAGGACTCCATCGAGGTGTCGGGTCCGGCCACAGGGTCCTGAGCCACCTGCATTTCGAGTTTTGGTTCCTGGGCTCTGGCAGTCAATGATTGCAGTCAGGAGTGGGCGTAACAGCGAGGAAGGAGCAGGTCGATAGTGCTGGTGCCTGAGGTAGGTAGTAGTGGTGTGGCGTCTGGGCGGCAACTGCCCCGGTACAGGCAGATCTGGGCTGAAGATATAAGCATAGCAGTGTGGGAAGGAGGAAGGAGGAAGGAGAGTGGGTTCCAGATGTTGGGAGGAAGTGCGCCAGATAGATCCGAGTGTGTTTGTAGATGGTACCTACGGAAACGAGACAAGGGTAGGGGCAATGCCACGGTGTGCAGAACAGCTTCGACAGCATGAGCAGGCGGGGCCAGTGACGATCAAATTAGGCCAGTCATTGTGACAGGTAGGTAAGTACTCAATCAGTAGGCAGGCAAGG